ACACACACACACACACACACACACACACACACACACACACACACACACACACACACACACACACACATACATACATCCATCATACATACACAACCACACGCAGCGCACGCGAAATACGCGCGAATAATCGTATTCCCTGGCGCGACGAAGGGATTCGTCCGCGGAATTCCGGATATGGAAGTATCCGAGTGAGAAACGTCGCGGCGGCGACGGCGGTCGCCCGACATCGAACGGTGCATTTTCGCGTCGAAGGGGAAAAAAAATAAAGCACGCGATCGCGACAAACGTGAGTCGCACGTTGGACGTACCTTTCGCGAGATCCACGACGCCCCGTCGGCCGTATGCAAACGGATCAACGACACGCAGATCGTCCGGTTGGGATCGCGAAGACGTATCGTCGACGTGCGCCGTGAAGATATAACCGAGTGCTCCCTAGAATTTGCGGGCAGGGCCGCCAATCTCGCGACGACTAGAGGAAAGGTCACTAGATTACAGCATCGGCACCGATCTTTCAAAAATAAATATCAAATAATTATTATATTAATCGAAGAAAAATATAATAAAAGAAATTACATAAATGGGCGTAAAAATCTTTTTCAGATGTTTCTCTAATGCTGAATATAAATTAATATATGTTCTAATGTTAAATATATTTTTGTATGATAATTTTTGTATGATAATGTTGTTAAATTTTTATTAATAAAAAATTTTTTAGAATTTGTTACATTTATGATTAAATTCAAAATTATAGATAAATTTATAAAAAAAGATTGTATCTGAACTATTGAACATTTTTTGTGGCGTACGAGATTGTCTTATTTGTACATTTGTTAATTAATGTAGTGAATTTAATAAGTTGGTCTGAAATTTATCTGAAATTTACATGGGATTTACATCGACTTCGTTGATAATAGCTTGAAAATGAATCAAAATATGATATTCTTATTATTTTCTCGTATTTTTTTTAAAATAAATTTTAATATGATGTAATTTGTTAAGCTTACTACACTAATTAGTGCTTGACTCTCATTTGCATTGTCGTATCTTTTAATTATTTAATATTAATATTAATTTAATATTAATATAATATTGTACTAATTTTTTTAACTTTAATAACCGCAACAATTTCTACAATAAAATTTTATAAGATTAAAAAGATTATACATAATATCATAATATAATCTTAAATTTTCACAGTAGGTGTGTTTCTATCATGTTTAATTTCATTGGGTCCGATTGAAAATATGGCCTGCGCGAGGAAACCTGCGCGACTACGCAGTTTTTGTGAAATACTCTTGCTAATTACATTAGGCATCGATGATTATACTTTTCCTGCTTTAACTTTCCTGTCTTTACATTTTATTTTCTATGCATTAACCTTTGTTAACCTACTTGTCTCATTATTGTCAGTTATTCTTTATTTAGGGTTCAATTAACACGTTGAAATAAAGCATAAAGGCGGAAAACAAAATTAATGTCAACACACACAATGTCCATATTTGCAAGGCGGATACTTTCATCCAACTGTAATTATTTTTTTATTTTATTCTGTGTGAAGTATCACTGATAATATGTAATAACACGTTCTCGTTTGCAGTCTCGAAGGAATGGCGATATTTGTGGCCTGTCAACTATAATTCATATCTTCAACAGTGTCAACTATCGACTCAATCTCAACCAAATGTGGAAAAATCCGGTAAATTTTTATTTTCATACGAATCTATATAATTATATCTTAATTCTCTGTAGACTACCTTGAATTTCACTAGATCACCTGGATTCAGATAATTGTGATCAGATAATTGTGTTTTTCAAAGGAGTTTCAATAGCTTGTTTACTGAATAATTCAAAGTCGAAAAATCATTTGGATCTTAAAATCTTCAGATGGTCTACAGAAAATAAAACGTATTTCTACTTTTCTATAATTCTCTCTGATCTGTAGGAGATAAATTTTATTATAATCTAAACATTATTCTAAACATTATTATATCTAAATAATACAATATCTCTCGTTATACGCAGATCTATCTAACATCTCAGAAACTTCAGAAATTATAACAATAAATCCACTAAAACATCCAGATTTCTTCCAAGTGCACAAGCTGTTCACTGTAAAGGATCTTTATGATGCAAGGGTTCATTATGGTCACAAGGAGACTTCATTGAATGAGCAAATGGAAACATTCATATTTGGTTCCAGACTAGGACATTTGATAATCGATCTTGATCAAACTGCCGAATTGTTAAGACAGGCATTAAATTTTATCGCTCACATCGCTTTCCGAGGTGGTATAATCCTGTTTATCTCACGCAATCCTCAGTTCACATATATAGTAGACAAAACCGCCAAGGAGTGCAAGGAATTCTCACAGACAAGATACTGGCGACAGGGACTCTTTCCAAATTCCAGGAATCAGTTCAAGGCAATGACACGATTGCCTGATCTATGCATTTTTCTCAATACTTTCGACACTGTCCTTGTTGAGCACATGGCAGTAAGGCATACGGCGAAGATGAACATACCTAGCGTTGGTATAGTTGACACGAATTGCAATCCAAATCTTATAACATACCCTGTGCCTGGAAATGACGATTCTCTATGTTCCATTGAACTCTATTGTTCGTTATTCAAAGAAGCTATTCTCAGAGGAAAAAAGGCTAGAGAACGACTAATGAAA